GAAGCTGACTGGTTTCTATGCACAGTTACACTAGATTTTGCACTTTCTAGTTTTAGCAAATCAACCACATAATATATATTAACAGGTTAGCAATTGTTCACTGGGATGGGAAAGTTATTTCAAGGATTCCTTCATATTAAAAAGATTGAGAAGGTCTGATCTAGTGCCTAATCTGCAAATCTGTATATTTAACAGAATAAAAATATTATGGAAAAGCAAACATATCGCTGCCCTCTAACCACTGTCACAAATGCCAGATGAGAGGGTGATAGGGTGACATTGTCTCTTGGTGCCACCGGAATGATATGAAATACCTTTGGGTTCCTCACAACAGGTCAGTGTACAGATCATCTTTGTGGATGCCAACTGCTGATGTCTGACCCGTAGCTCCACATGGTCGTCCATACTGTATTACGTAATCCTTGCCATTTTACTGGTGCAGTACTTGAAAACCCTTTCTGAATTGTGTAAAAGGCCAGAAGGTCACCTCCAAACCTCAATATATCCACTTTGCTAGTGGATGTGATAGTTTAAAAATGATAAAAGTCTCCACATTTTAATAAAGTATCCCTATAACCAAACCTGTATAGTTTTAAATGAGATTGGAAAGTGTTAGAGCCCTTCTCAGGTTTTATGGTGTCTGTGTCCCCTTTGTGGAGATAAACCTTCATATTTTGTCCTGAATACCATTGTCACTGGAATAGGAAGTGATGGGTAATCAAAAAATGTTATGGTTAGCACCAGAACAGGAAATTAGGGAAATGTATTTAATATGGACATTTGCTCCAATAACTGTCATGGGAATAAGAGGGGATTTTGTCTCACTCTATGGAGATTTTTTCTCCTTTCCTGTTGTGCCTCCAGAACAATTGATGGAAAATCTCAATAGGACAAAGACAACAAACACTAACAAAAAATTTTAGCTTTAGATATCCAGTGTTGTTTTAATGGCCTTCCCATTCTGTCAATCCTCTCAATCAAACCTCCATTTCCTTTTCAGTTTTAACCTAATGTTATTCAATACCAGCCTTTCTCAAACCTTTGCTCACAATGGAACTATTGAAATAATTTTCTAGTCTCAGGAAACCCCTGTTAGGATTAGTCTATCGAGGGCATTGGGATAATGACCCTTATATTGATGGTCAGTGGGAAGTATGCCCTCCTTACAGTGGTTGCCAAAATGCCACACTTATAGTCAGTTAAAACAATATTTGATGTCATGCCGTTGAGTCTGCCAAGTGACTTTGGACCTGGAGCTACTGTATCAATGGGAGGGCAATCAATAACAGCTCAAGGAACCCCCGGCAACCTCTGGAGGAACCTTTGAGTTCTATGGAACCCTCTATAAAAATGAACACAAGAGGGTGCATCAGCCTAGTGCGCTATCCCACAACATTTATTAAAAATTACCCTAAGTTCTTCTACTCACAAGCTTATACAATAAAATTGCTTATCAAGCCACTTGTCCATAGCTAAATAGTCCTGGATTAAACTACCTCCAGAGTGTAGGGGGACCTTACCAGGATCCCGGCTGGCTGACACATTTCAAAGGCTTTTTTGGCTCTGAAGAAGAAGGGAATTCCTTCAAAACACATCAGCCAGCTGGGATCCCTGTGAGGTCCCCCTATACTCTGGAGATGGCTGAGTCCTGGACTACTGAGTTATAGACGAGTGGCTCGATAAGCGATTTTAATTCATATGTTTGTGAGTAAAACTTACAATTATTTTTAATAAATATAGTGGGATAATGCACTAGGCTGGTGCACCCTCTTTTGTTCAATTTTATAGAGGCTTCAGGCCATCCCCAGTTTTAGAGGGCAGTAAGACTTGGAGCGATTACCCCTGTGATGTGGAGTACCATCTACACCTGTACTGGGCAATCACACTTACACTATATTGCCAAAAGTATTAGGATGCCTGCCTTTACACTCACATGAACTTTAATGGCAGTCTTAGACCATAGGGTTCAATATTCAGTTTGCCCATCCTTTGCAGCTATAACAGCTTCAACTCTTTTGGGAAGGCTGTTCACAAGGTTTAGAGGGATGTCTATGGGAATGTTTGATCATTCTTCCAGAAACGCATTTGTGAGGTCAGGCACTGATGTTGGTCGAAAAGGCCTGGCTCACAGTCTGCACTCTAATTCATCCCAAAGGTGTTCTATCATGTTGAGATCAGGACTCTGTGCAGGCCAGTCAAGTTCCTCCACCCCAAACGCGCTCATCCATGTCTTTATGGGCCTTGCTTTGTGCACTGGTGCGCAGTCATGTTGGAACAGGAAGGGGCCATCCCCAAACTGTTCCCACAAAGTTGTGTTGTGCTTTACACCACTGCATCCGATGCTTTGCATTGCACTTGGTGAAGTAAGGCTTGGATGCAGCTGCTCGGCCATGGAAACCCATTCCATGAAGCTCTCTACGCATTGTGCTAATCTGAAGGCCACATGAACTTTGGAGGTCTTTAGCTATTGCTATCTACAGACAGTTGGCAACTTCTGTACACTGTGCATACGTTGTTCCCGCTCTGTCATTTTACGTGGCCTACCACTTCGTGGTTGAGATGCTGTTGTTCCCAGTTGTTACACCTTTGTTATAATATCACTAACAGTGGACTGTAGAAACAAGGAAATTTCATGGATGGAGTTATTGCACAGGTGGCAAACTATCACGGTACTACGCTTGAATTCACTGAGCTCCTGAGAGAAACCCATTCTTTCACAAATGTTTGTAGAAGCAGTCTGCATGCCTAGGTGCTTGATTTAATACACCAGTGGCCATGGAAGTAATTGAAACACCTGAATCCAATGATTTGGAGAGGTGTCCCAATACTTTAAGCAATATAGTATATGTGCAGGAGATAATTTTTGCTGTTGGGAATTTTCTATGGAACCCTGGCTAAGAATAGCTGATCTATACAGCAATAATAAATGACAGCCTTTGGTACTCTAACACAGCACAGCACATGTGAAGGTTTGCTTTCCAGGAGTCTCTTTCCTTGAACTGTAAAATAGTAGACAGTAGTAACTGCAAAATATATGAACGTGAAAGGCAAATATTAACTGAAAGATTCAAATCTCTTGGAGCTCAGCCCTAGAATATACACTATAAGGCCAAAAGTATATTGAGACACCTCCAAATAATGGCGCTCAGGTGTCTCCAGTGAAGGGTACTGGTAATGCTACAGCAAAGACAACTGCACACTTCCACTTTGAGCAACAGTTTGGTGAAGGTCCTTTTCTGTTCCAATATAACTGTGCCCATAGCTATAAAGACATTGGGAGGTGATTTACTAAAACTGGAAAGGGCAACATCTGGTGCAGCTCTGCATGGTAGCTAATCAACTTCTAACTTCAGCTTGTTCAATTAAGTTTTGACAAAAAAAAAATGAAGCTGATCGGTTTCTCTGTAGAGCTGCACCAGATGTTGCACTCTCCAGTTTTAGTAAATCAACCCCCTGGTTTGTTAAGTTTGGTACGGAGGAACTCAGGTGGTCTGTACAAAGCCCTGACCTCAACCCTACTGGACACCTTTGGAACAGTGATTGAAAGTTATATTTTCTCCTCTGGCATCAGTGCCTGACTTCACAAATGCTCTTTTGTCTGAATGGGGACAAATTCTTTCAGAAACATTCCAAAATCTTGTGGAAAACCTTCCCAGAAAAGTGGAGATTGTTATAGCACAGGGGGATACTATTGTTTTATTGGCCATAGTTTTAAAGTGTGTTGGCCAGTTGTCCACACACATTTGGCTTTATAGTGTATTACATCCTGTATCATTTAAAATCACATCTATATTTTGGTCATTCTTTTACACTCTTATAAGGACAGATCAGCAGTGACCAGGGGCAGACTGACCATTTGGGAACTCGGGCACTGCCCGAGGGCACGGGGTCAGTAGGGGGCCCCATGAGATGCCCCTGGTACCTTTCATAGGCTTTTTTGGGTGTGGTTTGAGTGTGGGTGAGGACACAGGGGCCCCATGATCCCCTATTGCCCGGGGGCCCCATAAGTTGTCAGTCCGCCCCTGGCAGTGACATAGCTGCAGCTCTGCTTAGGATTCTCCTAATATTGAGCCACAATCTTGAGCCTTATCAGTGTTTAGTTTCCAGCTCCCTCTCTTTCTGGCTAACAAAGTGGGTGCATGTCTTCTAACTATACCTGGATATCTTGGGGAACAAAGTACAACCTTTTTTTGTCTGATTTTCCCAGCATAGATGGTCCATTCCATGTTGCCTGGAAAGACTTTTTTTGGATTTGTTATTTTTAATGACAGATCCCTTTAAGGCAATGAAAAAAAGACAGACACCACGCAACGCTCCACTTAATTCATTTGTATCAAAGCTGTACGTTGTATCATAATCAATCTCCCAAACACCTACGACACTCCCATGTCCTCTCACGGATATGCAGATATAAAAAGAAAAGGGTAAACAGCAATACGGATATTGCTGATATAGAGATCAACAAAAACACACAGCACCTAGGTTATGTTTCTAAACCCGGCTGAGCATTCTAGATAGGTGTGATTTTGGAAGTCAGCAAATCGGAGCGGCAGAAGTCACCTTCCGGCAGATGTAGCGTTCCATGTGCCGTGCCGCTGTTGCTAGGTTAATGCATGTGGTGAAAACTGAGACCCTGAGCTGGGACAAACGTCCTGGGTTTGCCCCATCTACACACTCTAATCAATGCTGGGGCACCTTGAGAGGACAGGGCACTGACAAATGGTAGAGGTGACAACAGTACATGTAGTGTCAGGAGGGGGGGCAGTCTATTTTTCGCACGCACAGCGTACATTGTAAAATACTGAGGCATCGCAGTGTTTCTGATGAATGCAGAGGAGGCTTCGTCAGGATCCCCCACCCCAAAACATTAGGGGGTACAGGGGGGAGAGGAACGTGCGTCCAGGGTCCAAAAGCCCCCATGTTCTCTTCCTTTAATACCTCTTCTTCTCCTCCTCTTACACTAAAGGTCCATACAACTAGTCTCCATGACCCCTTTTACATCACTCAGGGGCACTGGCATCTAAGGGATCTGCCAGTCTCCGATGATGTGAGAGGGGTGTCAGATCTTCTGGAGGAGGAGGGGGTGGTGGTTTGGGAGACTGGGGTGGTCTCGGCAGCGGTGGTGGCCCCCTCAGAGTCTGTATCCTCCGACACTCCTGGCAGATTCTGAAATGGGCGCACCCTCCCCGACCTGAGGAAGACGTGGGGTCCTCGTGGAGCCTCTGGGCACCTGGGGCTGGTGGAGGGTGAGGTGGCGCTGGAGGGTGCTGGTGGGTCTGATACAGTCGCCCATTACAAAGGCGTGTCTCCCTGGTGGCACGGGGCGGCCGGCTAAGGGAGAGAAGAGTCCTTCCGTGCAGGTGGCGAGGCGGCCTACGGCGATGGCGAGAGCGGGAGGTCTTCTTGCAAGACACGGCGCTGCGAAGTTCACTCAGCATCTCTTGGCATACGGAAATCTGCAGCACAGGGAAAAAAATCATTAAGTTAAAGAAGACCTCCTCAATTGACTCTTTCAAATAAAAGACCTTAAACATATACCATATAGTCATTTGAGAAATTCTACAGCTCTGGCAAAAAAGTATCAGTATCCCATCATTTTCAACTTTCAGGTAAACTGGTACACTACATTTGCATCTATATTGTACTTTTTGGCAGTCACCTATTCTTGCTTCTTTAGCTGACCATGGCCCCATTCACACCTGAGCGTTTTGTAGCACGAAGCTCCAAAATGCTCAGGGAGAAAAAATCAATTATTATCTATGGAAATGGTTCACATCTCCACTCCAAGTCACCTAAAGCCAAACACCTGAAGCTCATAAAAGTTTTGGAGCTACTTTAATAGCTTGATTTGGGCAGATTGGTACGGTTTGAAGCAGTTTTTTGTCCATAGAAATGCATTAAAAGACAAGATTTGCTGAGCGTGAGAGCTGATTGGGGGGAAGGGACACACCCTCCTTCACACAGCTCACATGAACAGAGTTGAGGTTGTCAATCACAGACTGTGCCCTCCCTTGTCACCATATTTCTGTTGGTGTCAGGAAAATCTGTGAGAAGTGACTTATGCTGATAGCAGAGGATTGAGTCAGAAGAAAGAAATAACCCTTCTTGCTCTGGATTGAGACAAGTACACACTATAGAGAGATATGCTTTCTTCAGATTTAATTTCTGGGGTTTACAACCACTTTAAGGTAGCCAATTAATTTGAAAGAGTTGCCAATGCAGGGCAATAAAAGGGAAACCAGTCTTGCACCTTTCTTTTAATACAGCACACAACAATGCTTGGCACGTGCGTTGTGGTGTATTACAAGGTAGGTGTGTTGGTCCCTTCTGTACTTGTGCATTCAGGTGACATGAAATGACTACATAGATAAGGCATAAAGAGTGTCAAAGGACCATCTTAAGTGTTACTTATTAGAAATGATAAGGCAACCAACATGTTTTGGGAACCAAAAATCCCCCTTCAACAGAGAAGAAAGCTGAAGCTTAGTTTAAAAAAATTATTCTCTACAACTTTAGCTACATTGCTTACCGCTAATGAGGTATGCCCCATGAGGTGCAGGCTGCTAAATTCTATAGAGGTCTTCACTGCAGGGCTGCCCTTTCCTCTTCCTGCTGCTGCTGAGAAAAGTTATTTCCAGAGGCATAACTAGCACAGGATCCCTGTGCAAGAATTCATGAAGTGCCCCCGACCCCTGGCCAGAGCTCTTCCTTTCAAACCTGGTGGCAGAACACCAGGGCCCGGTCGCAATTACAACCCTTTGCAACCCTGGTAGTTCTGCCACTGGTGTGAGTGTTTTTTTTTATTTTTGTTATTTTATTTTTGTATTATTTTTTCCCCATTGTATTTTTTTTTTTTTTAATATTATTTTTTTATAATTTCCTATAATTTTTTTAGGAGCCTCAATCACTGACTAAATTACATATTTACTGGTTCCTCCCTGCTCTGTACTGTATCCTGACACATCCCCAGCATCAGCTGGCGGGAGAGGAGAGGGGGGGAACCCAGCAGTGCTGTGGGGGCCTACAGAGAGCACGGGACCCAGAGGCAGCACAAGGAAGCTGGATATTAGAGGTGGCGGGGGCAGCATAGAAAGGAACACATCCCTTCATTTTCCTCCTGCAGTCCCTGAATACCTGCAGGGGGGGGGAGGAGGGGGAGTAGAAGACATTCAGAAGCTGCAGGAGGAAAATTGCAGGGATCGATTCCTCCATATGTTGCCCCCACCACCCCCCCTATCCAGGTGTACAGGGGAGCTGCACGGGCCCCCTTGAGCATGGGAATGGGTCACAATTGCGACCCCTGAGACCCTTGTAGTTACTCTTCTGGCTCTTTCACTACTACACAGTCTGGAACGTGATCGGTGAATGGGGGAGAGGCCGATCAGTCACAGGATTCTCTCCTCCATTCATAAGTTGTGTTACAGACAGTGTAATCAATTAAAGAACTTTTCCCAATAGAGGAAGTGGCAGGAGGGGACGTATCACCCTCAGATCATCATTAGTGCAGCTGGACCTGAAGACATGAAGCTGTTAACCCTCACATCCCTGAAAGCGGTAGGAGGTGGACAGGGTAGCCCTGCAGTGAAGATTTCTACAGAATCCAGCAACCTGCACATCGTACATGGGACATACATTTTTACTGGTAAGTAATGTAACTTAAGCTGTAAGAAAACATTTTTTTCAGCTTTAAGCAATGTAGCAAACGTATCACTTGTACTCAAAACAGAAACTCCCGGGTAAAAGTCTGACTGGAGAAAATAATCATAGGTGATTGCACCTGCATTAGTGGCCAAGTAATTCGAAATGGATGGCACAGCAATGCACCACACAAAGTAATTGCTGAGCACTGGCTATAAAAGTGCTTCACATTTTCTGATTCTAAAGTGCCTTCAAGTGTTCCAGCACTTTCCCAGCAGATAGGTAGGTGTGTGCCTCTGACCATTTGATTGCTGCTACTATTGCCTTTTGATTTGTTTCTGTGTCATTTTATCTCTATGAGTACGTTATACAATCTACACAGAACTGAACTTTAGATATGACAGATGGAAAAGAGAAAAAAAAAAACAGAATGGAAAAAAAATGACAAATAAGAGTATAGAGAGTTGGATGACAGGATGGAGAATAAGAAAGAGGAAAGGAAATAATGGCCGTGTGGGAAGCGGAGAGCAGAACAGCAGAACAAACACAAGCGGCAGGGGACGGGAAGAGTGGGCGAAGAATATGCACTGACCCCTTCAGGGAGTCCGCTCAGAAAATCCAATGCAAAAAAAAAAGACCAAGCTTATGAAACAATAAAATACCCCATGTGTGCTGATAGCAGGGGAGTCTGAGATGGAAAGGTTTCATTTATATCTCATAAAGGAGTAACAAAGAGAATATGGAGCTGAACTGTATACAAAGTTGTGCATTTCATTACAGTACTACATGAACTAATCTGGCATATGCAAGTGTGATAAACTACAACTCAACCTTTCTCAATGTCAAAAAGGAAAAACCCTGAACTCACAAAAGAAAATTTGTCCATGAAATCCATAATATGGAGAAAAGTCGACTCAATAGTTTCAAGCACCTCCCACTCCTTGATCCTTCAGTTCCGCAAGGTACCCACCCAGGACTGTGTGCCCGCTGTACAGACTCACCATCAAAAGGAAATAAATGGGCCACGCACTGATGTTTAATTCAGTGACAAAGGTTCACAACATGTGTTTCCGCCTGTCCCGTTCCTGCCTTTGGCTCAAGGAAGGGCCTACTCACGTAGATGTAGCACCCTCCTAGTTAGCTAGGGGGAGCTAGCTGACTATTTTTTAGTTAGAAGGCTGAGTAGCAGCCTGGGTGATAGTCAGAGGGCTCAAATTCTAGTCAGGTCTGAAAGACTGCAGATCAACTCACCGATACCTCCCCCTAATCTAGAGACTTGAGAAGTCTCTAGAACTTAGTGGGTGAGGGTAAGGAGCTGGTATGCACTCTTGAGGGATCCTGGCCAGTCTCCAGGCAGGAGGCTTGATATGAAGTTAGCATAGCCATAAAAGTGACTGCGCCTGCTCAGAAGCAGGAGAGTTCAGGTGGAAGATGTAGAGAAGGCTGAGATATAGAGGCATGGGAGGGGCTCAGTGGGAAGGGCCTACCTGCTGGAAAAGAGGATCACTCAACCTCACAAGTCCCCTCAGAGAGGACCACCTGTGCAGCAGGGAAGGAGCCAGCCCAGCGGAAGGCCTGAAGGCAGCCACCAACCCAACAAGCAAACAAGAGAGGAAGAGTGAGTAATCCTACACCCCCTGGGCCAGTTAAGGGGAAAGGAGTGGTGGGAAACCTGACTAGCTCTTCATCCTGTTTCAACAGTGGCAAGCACTGGATCCCCATACCAAGGGATTTCCTGTAGATAGCTGGATGAGAAGAGGATTCATCTGGGGTCTGGGGTGGTACCCTAGGAGAGGTCTCCCAGAAGATTTTTGCTGTGTAAAGACTTGGACATAGTTGCCAGAAAGTTGTCCTCAATTTACTGTTCCTTGAGCATCCCATCCATCCCTCACTCCATCCAAGTTCAAATACCCCTAATAAAATTTAAAAACCAAGCTCAAGGACTGTTAACTGTTTCCTGTGTGCAAGCTAAAATGCAAGTCTGAATAAAATGTGTGTTGCCTGGCTGTGCAGGACTATAGGGGGACCAAAATATTCAGCAAGTCCCAAGAGGGTAGTGCTGCAGAGACATGAACAGGAGGAGCACAGATGGAAAGTGAGGACATGTGAACCTCTGTCACTGGATTAAAATGTTTTTAGTACTGGTGACAAAATTAGTGTACAGTCTGTTTATTACCTTTTGGCAGCGAGTCTGTAGAGTGGGTACGCACTCTTGGGTGGGCACCTGATAGAAGCTGAAGGTTCAAGGAGAAGGAAGCACTTGGAGCAACATGGATCATTATTGGGTCAACGTTTCTCAATATTATAGAAATATTTTCTTTTGTGAGTTCAAGGCCAACACAGACTGTGGCAGAATGAATCCTATAAAGACTTCTGATATTTCTTGGCAACTACAGGGTTCTCAGTTCTGCTCAATTGCTATAGAATTACCTAAACAAAGGTCACACCCCCTAGAGGATTCTTCATAATAATTCTCAATAAATTATGGGGGAATCAGCCTAGGAGAGGGTGAGACCTTCCTTATGGATATGTGGGAGGAGCAATGTACCCCTAGAACAGATTTTCTCAACTTGGGTTCTGTGAGTTCCTAGGGTTCATCCAGAGGTTGCTAGGTGTTCCTTGAGCAATGAGCAATGAACATTTCCCGTCTCTCAGATTAGTAACCACTGATGTAAATGATCACTTTAGCTATCTGTGAGTGGAGGATTTTTCCCACTGGCCACAAATGTAAGAGGGTGTGAGATGGGGAAACAGCTCTCATTGTTTGAATACTGTTTGTGCCAGGATTTTGGAAGTAAATTCCCATGTTTTGACTGACATTCTGCGGTTTAGCCACAAGATGTCACTGTTTTTCTAACAGCCTCAGACTGCATAGATATTTGTATATTCATGAAGAGGTGTGGGCTTTTGCAGACAGAGTTGGAGAGAACAGGAAGGAGAGAGAGAAGCCATGTTTTGGAGCATGGTGAATAAGGGCCCTGTGAGCTGAGAATCTGATGACATCCAGGTGTGAAAGCGTCCCTCCGTAACCAGAGCTGCAGCTACGTGAAGTTGATGAGATTGCTGCCAGGAAGCTGATGAGATTGCTGCCAGGAATGCTGATGAGATTGCTGCCAGGAATACTGATGAGAGCAGAGGAACTAAGCAACATATACGGCGAGACCGCATGCTTGTTGGAGAGACATTTGTTCTGTTGAGACTGAGTCCAGGCCTATAGCTTTTAGTTAGGGTCTCTGTTTGTGTCAGGCCACAAGTGTTGTTACTGATCATTGGAAGGGACTCCACAACTTAAAGTGACATTTCAAATTGGAGAGCTGATAAAATCCTACAAACTCAAGCCATACTGGCGTTTTGCTCACAAGGAATACTCAGGAGAACGTGCTACAGGACCAGTTTATGGGAGGGGGAATACTGTAGATTTGTGTAAGATTGTAAGCTGTTGTGCTGCACCGCAGGCTAGCCGATACCATACACCCATACACTGATTCACTGCTCTTTTAGGGTAATAACAGGTAAGGTGTGGCAGCTTAGTTGTGCCCACCAGTAGGTAAATTACTTCACTTTCTACCTTCATCCATCAGAATGGCGACGTACTATGCAGCACAAGATGGAGAGGGTGTCTCAGCCTTTGGGCTGAGTGTATGTAAATTTATTGTATGTGGTTTGGGTTTTCCAGCATTGTGTGGTGTGTGTTTATTTGCCACATCTAAGTAAAATTCTGTTTGTGGCAAAAGCTGGTGTTGGGGTTGCTTTCCCTCGTTCGTGACTTCACTGTATCCTGGGGAGCCCACCCAGGTAGTAAAAAACGGCTTACAAGGGCACTCTTTGCAGTGACATTTAATAAACAGACATTCCCCAGTTTAGGAGTTCAAAGCTGTCTTCACTGGGGCCAGGATCTTTCCACTCTTCAAATTCCTGGCACCTTGGCATCTTGGCTATGGGATCTGGCTGTGTCTTCCTACTGTTTCACAGCTGGCTCCCTATTGCACATGCACAAGATTATGCTGAGCTGTTAGATTGGTCCCGCAGACACATCACATGTCCCAGGAGGCTGTGGGCCAATCTTACAGTGCAGCAGAGATGGGCAAGCCTATCAGAAAACAGTACCCACTTCTCCACTAATAAAAAAAAAAAAATCTTCTTTGTCTCTATATCTACAAGCATTGGGGAGAAATTTGTTTTCAAAGTTCATAGAAACCTTAGCTATTCTGTTACATAAGTATCTTGGCAGCCAGCCCTTTAAAGTAAACACAGAGCTGATGTTTCTAAGCTGTTGACTGCTGACACCAATTTTTTTTCTTCAGCCACTTGAAAGGGGTATTCTAATAAAGGAATTGGTTTTTATAAATATGACCACCAATTTACAGAACATTTGTCCCACTGACTACTATTGTAACTAGGGCCCTTCTCCACTGACCAATGTAATGGGTGACTTTTTCCACTGACCACCGTGTCAGGTTGCACTACAGTTTCTTACCACCTGATTTTTTTTTTCAGGCCAGTATTAATATTTGCTTTATTTAATTTTTATTACTAAAAAATATTTTCCAAAAGAGCAGCCTTGGGTGTCAAATATGCTAAGTACACTACATTTTTATTTATTCTTAGACCTGCAACATAATGTGTATGACTGATGTCTCCTGAGCCTTAGATATAATAATTATTAGCCGGGGTTTCCTAAGACATGAATGTCATTGCAAGGGTTCTTCCATGGTAAAAAGATAGAGGAAAGCTTGCTCTAGGGAGTCTTTGTTGTGAGCATATTGAGAAAGAAAAATGTCACATTTAAAGCAGCCAGGGAAGCAAGAGATGGTCGGTTTTAAAGATTTTTACTGCGTGCAAAGAGCTTGCAAATAGTTTAATGTCCATAGTCTTGGCACAAGTGCACTTCAGAGTGACATTGTTATTCGACAAAAAGTATGGAGGCTACCATTGCTGGCCCTCTTTTGAAAATGCTAGTTCCCACGTAATTTATCATATATTTCATATATAATGGTCAATGAAAAGATGATTAGCATATTGCGAGACACCACTACAAGATGTGAGAGGGTCTGGAACCCGTGGAAACTCTATCTACGATCCCCTTCTTAATAATGTTAGTTCTGGTGGCTTTGGGTTTGGGATGTGGATGGACTGTATCTTCTTCACTAGTTCTATTCTTTTCTGCTCTCTTTTTCCTTCTGCTTTACTCTTCTCCACTGCAGGTATAGCAACCTATCCTTATTTGTAATTGGTTACATTGTATTATGAAGGTCATGCTTTCGTCATTTCCCGGTGCGGCATAAAGTGGGTATCGGTCTCCGGCCTACTTAGTCACCTTTTATTGACTTAGAATACCAGCTTCTCAGCCATTGCTTTGCTTGTTCTTGGTTGTTTAATGACAGTATATTTTGATTTGCATAAATCCACTGTACATACAGTGTACACATCTGTTACATATTTCCTGCAGTTGTGCCTCGCCTGTGTTGCAAGACTTTGTTTTAATCTGCTATCAAACGCATACATCTTGTTACTCTATTGTTTAAAATTTTAATAAACAGAAACAGAAAATTCTAGTTGCATAGTTGTGTTTGAGTTCAATATCTTTGAGTCACAGACCCAAAGCACAAGCATGCTGTAAATAATCAGAAAAGTGTCAGAAGTCCTTATGTCTATACTTTTTTTAGGTCAGGGAATCAGAAATAATTAAACAAGCATTAGCACTGGCTGCCATGGGGAGTACTGTGTGGCAGAGCTGTGAAGGCAGAAAAACATTTGATTGCGATGTACTGTACTTTTTCCATTTTGCCAACAAGCCTCCTCACCTCCTCATTGTCCACTGAACGTCTTGTTGACCAGACGAACTCCATAATGGCCACAAAACACAGCAATGATTAGACCGCAGATCAAAACCACAAAGATACCTCCGATGTTCTCCATCCCCAGCCCTGTAAATTGAAAACCAAGTATGAACAAAAGGGTGTTCTTCCGATCATTGATCAAAACATGGGAATAGCTGTATTAAAACCCAAACTACCCAAGCAACTAGAACATGATTTTGAGCCATATGACTGGAAATGTCTGCAACTAGTTACAACATTCCTATTACCATCCACTCCAACCTGATCTCCTTTTGATTTGGGTTTTAGGTTATTGTCCATTGGTCCAATCTTCCCATAATGGTCCTCTGATTGTGTGTGTTTGTGTAGTTCTGGGGCAATCACTGCAACATGGCTTCTTCTAGTGATCACAAGAAGTTAAAGTCTATCTATCAATAGATATATTTATCTCTGTCCTTACCAGGTAGATTCATCCTTTCTACTTGTCCTGGTGAACGTTGTTTCTGCAGCAGAAAACCAAAATTTTAGAGTGGTCTCAAGAATGGGGTTTCAGGGGAAATCTTTTGATGGGGACAACTGTGCTTGTGACACTTTGGAGAATTTTTTTCCCCAGCTTCTTATTGTGTCTCTTGGACAGGAAATAAAAGGAAATATCCCAGATGGGACACAAACTGCCAGGAATCTTAACCACTCCTTACTGTAATTAAAATAAAAACAAAAATTGACTTTACATACACTTTACAGCCGAATTCCAGGAAATCGACAACTTTGCAAAAAAGTGCAGGCACAAGATGAGTTTATTCCAACCAGATGCCTGCCACATTGTGGGCTTATCTCTACTATTTATATCTGCAAGCTTTATTAGGCTCCAGCAAGATAGCTTCTGGAGCTCCAAGGCTGCATGGCTCTGGTCTCAGCTCCTTCATGTGTGCAGCTACTATGACCTAGCCTTCCTCCTCCTGCCCAATCACAGAAGCCTTTGTATTGTGTGAACTCAAAATACAAAGGCTGCTGTGAATGGGCAGCAGAGGGGAGGGTGGTTATAGCTGCTATGTATGACTCTCTTATGTCTTTATCAGCCCTGAGTGTCTCAAAGTATCCTTGGCAAAGCCATAAATCTGTGAGATATACATAATAGAGATAATTCCATGTGACAGGCACCTTGTTGGAGTTAAAGTGTTACTAAACCCCAGACCCTGTATTCACTATTTCCGGTCTCCCACAGTACACAGAACATGGAAATGCAATTATTTTAGTAAATATAAACTGCTAAATACCGTTTCTCACCAGCAGTTAGAGCAGTCTTGTGACTTCTATCAGTGTCCAGCCCACCACTGGCTAAAGCTTGTAGGAAGAGTTTTCATTCTGCTCTAGGAGGATGGAAATCCCTTGACCTCTGTCTGGACAGTGTTGATTGGCCCTGTGCTAATCACATGCACTCTCCCAAGAAAAAGAAAAACCTCTCTAGCAATACACACCAAACTAAGCATGTGCATGCCTACAGTTAAGTCTGGAGATGAAGAGGTGGTCCCTTGAAAAAGGGGAGGAACAGAGAAGAAAGGATCAAGCAGCCTTTTTACACAATGCAGACGATTAACCCCTTAGGCTCCACCACGAGTATAACAAGCATGCTTTACTGCATATACAGACTGATTTTAATGTTGTGGGTTTAGTAACACTTTAACTCATTGTGTGCCTGCAGTTTTTACAAAGTTGCTGAATTCCTGGAATTCAGCTTTAAAGCTTAATTCTGGTATTTTTTGGCTGTTGTCTTGGATGATATGAAGAATGGTTAGATCAAATATGTATTGTCATCTCTATTCCAGAACCAGAAGTGAGGGGAACTCTCCTGAACGGGAACAAAGAAAGCTATAAAACATGACAGTGGTTCTAACCCGCATGCTGAACAAATATAAAAACATTTGGCTGGAGTCATGTTTTTAAAGGAAACCAAGGGGGGGGGGGGGGTTTACTAAAACTGGTGCAATCAGAATCTGCTGCAGCTGTGCATAGTAACCAATCAGCTTGTTCAATTAAGCTTTATCAATAAAATCTGGAAGCTGATTGGTTTCTATGCAGATCTGCACCAGATTTTGCACTCTTCAGTTTTAGTAAATAACACCCCAAGGTTCATAAATAGATTACAGAAGAAATTCCAGTCACGTGACTGAAAATCACCCGGGCTTTAGTGTGGTCTGCAGCAGTTTCAGCTAAATGCATTCAATGACATAGGCACATGGGAGAAATGGGTAGCAGCCATGATGGTCTAGCAGCATTCTTCCCCTGTAGGACAGTCATTGTTGTCACATTTTCCTCTTCTGAGAACTACATTGACATCTGTTAAGTGATGTTTGTAGAGGGCAATGATAACCCCTAATATAGGTGCACTGCATAGTGACCATTTATTGTACTGTATGTTCAACATTATCAGTGTCACTGGTAAACAAAGGAAAGGCCTGATGAAAACCCTACTTCCACAGGATGTCATAAGAAGGACAGTTTGGTAAAAAACATTGTCACCTAATTTGATATAGACTTTGATATTAATCTTTAGAAGGGCTACTTTTAAAATCATAGGAACCTGTAGTACACCCCAGAGTCAAATAATGCACAAAGCAATGTAGGTAGGACCTTATAGTCCAGGGGGCCCATATACAATCCCCATTCTCCTGTACTAAACCAGGAGATACAATTGGTCAAAGCTGCCTGTAACTTCACAAGGGAGGATGTACCTGTAGGTGGTTGGTGTCTGACAGGGCCTTGCCAGTTTAGAAAGAGCAAATGGCATCTATAGTAATCTTTACCAATGTAACTCATAAAGACGGGGGAGGGGGAAATGGGTGGCAAAGCTGCTCTCTAGCCCAAGACCCCATTCCGCTTTAATCTTTATGTGTTACATTTCAGGAACCTTAGATGCAACCATACATGGAGGGGAAACACAAGGCACCAAATAATAGACAGTAGGCCTAACCAGTGTATGAGAATTCAGTTGTATTATGATGAAAATTGTCAATGTGTTTAGAAGGTTTTAAATTACCCCGATTATTCATGTCTTACAGAAGAGGAACATACAGCCTAAGACTTACATCTGTCACTTGTCAATTGTGCCAATCAATCACACATGCTACACAGGTAATGACTATTCTGCAATCAACAGTCCACGGCTGTATGCTCTTCTTCTATAAGCCACGAGGAAGGGGGTATGTTAAAAATCCCAAAATGCGTTGGAACTTTACATTCACATCAAAAATGGGATTGTTTATATACTAGTTTTGCCTGCTGCCTTTTATTTGGTGCTCCATGTTCTTCCTCCCTTTAAGGATAGATGTTAAATGACTGTCTTCCCCATCAGGCCCATGTTGGTACATTGTCTGTGGGGAAAGGTTGGACAACCTTGAACATTCTCATGGAACAAAATAATTGGGCAGGCTAGATGACCTTGTCTGACTGCTATTGACCACAGAAGACATCAGAGGTTTCTGTTTGTACAGCATGAGGGAACTTTCACTGCAATAGGACTAACAGTCCCTGTATCTTCCACAAACATCAGGCATGAGCATAGAAGATTGGAATGGTGCCTGGATCCCTCTAGCTGTATGCCTGGAGTTCCGCGTTAATGTCTCATGTTTTTTTTATGATGAAGTCTTGAAATAGTTTCCAAAATTTCTTCAAACGGGCAAGCTCCAGCACACTTACAGCATATCTCAGTATACAATCATTAGATCTGTAACAGAAAGGTACATGGAAGAAGATGCAGGACAGAGATGATGTGAGAGACTGGAGTAGGCAAAAGAAAGCATGAAACTAAAGCTGAGCTGACTGGTTGAGAAGCAATATTGTTTAGCTGTGCAGTAACAAGCTAATGCTATGAGTTACCAGCATGAGACGGGGTGACAGATGATCCAGTAGAGGCAGTTTCTCTATTCCAGTCTGAGATAGCAAGAAGGAGAATGTGCAATGAGATTGAAACAACATGGAAAGATAAATAGAATAGATAGGATTGGTACTTTGGTTCTGAACAGAAACATGAGGCTACAAAGCTCTTAAGACCTCTGACCTTTGGCTCGATGGTCCTCTTCTTTGGGACACTTGCTGCCTTCCCACCACTTGCGTTTTAGTATCTCTAAGCGATTGTTCTCTTGAAGCTGAAGAATCGCGAGTGTGATCTCATCTCTGTATGGTGATTCTGAGGGAACAAAGAGAAAAACATGTTGTAATCACATTTTAGAAGTACATTTTCTAGCCATTACTAGAGTGCATAAATGCAGTTAGAAAGTAGTGGTAAACAAATTGTAGAAGATCACTGGCCTATGAGTCTGGGAAGAGAAATAATTCTTCTACCCTTAATCCTGCTGGATTGGGATTTTTCCACCAAAAGCTATCATTTGATAGAATAAAGTAGGAAAAGTCTCAATCCCCTGCTGGGTCTTCATTACTGTCTGTGACTCCACCTCCCCGCATATACAGAACTACTATGGTATCCAAGTTGTGACCACAAACTGAATTTCCTGGTTCTCCCTCTGGTGCTCCATTTTTTTCTATGGAGAATCCATCAGGGTACTGGTGTCATCAGCATTAAATTATTGTTGCCAGTAGACCCTCTTGGCAAAGCACCTTCGTAGAGAAAGGATCACTGTTTAGATTAAAGAACCTTTGTCGGTCATTAATTTTGCACAATATTATCTAAAGCAGACATTTTTCGCTGTACTCCCTCCTGCAGAAATAAATATACAGTACATGAACAGTAACTTGAACATGCATGTTTATGCCTAGAGCTGTCAAAAAGAACCATGCCCAATGGCTTTTGTACATAAATATACATATGTCTCCTGGGAACTATGGCTACGTCTGTGATAAAACATGCAATAGTTTCTCTTATACCATAACTGTACCTACATACAGTATATCTACTTATAGCTACCATTTGTCCCTCAATTGGAGAGACTGTTGCCTTTTTAAAACAAAATCCCTCTGTCTCTACTTTCTTCGTTTTGGTTCAGTGTATGGACCTTTATAGAAAAAAAAAAAAACTATTTAACCACCAAAAGTATTATACATCACTAAACATTTTATTCAGCACCTAAATCAGCCATTCCCAACCAGGGTTCTGTGGAATCCTGGGCTCCTCCATAGGTAGCTGGATGTTCCTTGAGCTGATCGACCTCTAATTTGTTGTTGCTAGACATGTGCATTTAGTTTCTACGAATCTCTGAATGGACATAGGAGCGAATGTCAACAAATGTGAAAAAAAGGTAGAACAAAATTAACAAATGCATTTGTTCTATTCGGATGATGTTACGTGATGCAATGGTAGTTTGGGCCCAAGCGGAAGTTAATTCAAGTTTTAAATTTGGTCATTTGGATAACAAATAGATCCAAATTTTGTTCCGTTTGTTAATTTGGATGCGCATGACGCCAGTTGAAAATGTCCAATCAGCTCATGCCATTTCTCTTGGTGGGTTGCACTAGCGTACACAAATATATCAAATACTGTATATAGCAATCTTCTGGTAAAACTGTAAATGTTTTTAGAATCCACCCAGGCCAAAGAATATACAGTATGAAATTAATGCAGAAGATACAAAATGAATTACGAAAACAAATTGGGTCAACATAATGAATATGACTAAATTAAATTCATCAATAAATGTTAGTATCCAGTTATATTCTGAGTATCTAGGAAAGAATCCAAGTCTTTTTTAAAGCAATCCAAGTCTTTTTTAAAGCAATCCACTGAGATGGCCAGAACCCTCTTGAGGGTGTCTATTCCACATCTCTCACTGTGAAGAAACCTTTCCGTGTTTGGAGATTAAATCTTTTTTCCTCCAGACGTAAAGAGTGCCCCCTTGTCCTCTGTGATGACCTCGGGGTGAATAACTCTACACTGAGTTCACTATATGAACCACTGATGTATTTATACATGTTGATCATATCCCCCCTTATGTATTATACATGGAGATCATATCCCCCCTTATGTATTATACATGGTGATCATATCCCCCTTATGTATTATACATGGAGATCATGTATTATACATGGAATCATCCCCCCTTATGTATTATACATGGAGATCATATCCCCCCTTATGTATTATACATGGAGATCATATCCCCCCTTATGTATTATACATGATGATCATATCCCCCCCTTATGTATTATACATGGAGATCATATCCCCCCCCTATGTATTATACATGGAGATCATATCCCCCCCTATGTATTATACATGGTGATCATATCCCCCCTTATGTATTATACATGGAGATCATATCCCCCCTTATGTATTATACATGGAGATCATATCCCCCCTTATGTATTATACATGGAGATCAAATCCCCCCTTATGTATTATACATGGTGATCATATCCCCTCTTATGTATTATACATGGTGATCATATCCCCCCTTATGTATTATACATGGTGATCATATCCCCTCTTATGTATTATACATGGTGATCATATCCCCCCTTATGTATTATACATGGTGATCATATCCCCCCTTAATCTCCTCTTCTCAAGAGAGAATAAATTCAGTTCCTCTAATCTTTTCTCGTAGCTGAGCTCCTCCATGCCTATCAGTTTGGTTGCCCTTCTCTGCGCTTTCTCCAGTTCCCCAATGTTCTTTTTGTGAATTGGTGCCCCAAACTGAACTGCATATTCCAGATGAGGTCTTGCTAATGATCTGTACCGGGGGAAATGATATCTCTCTTATATTACCTTTACTAATATTATCTTTGCTATTTTGAAAAGTGGCAATGAAAACAGTACTTTAGGGGTTTAACTAATCCTTTTCTGTATTTGTATTCTTCACGTTTCGTATAACTGGATGCATGGCAGTGATGTGTCCTTTGCCTTCATAATTTGTGATAAAAGGGCCGAGCTTCATAAATTGCCTTCATAATGTGTCCCTCTTTCTCATTTCAGAAAATTGGGAGGTATTCTTTCACAATAGGCCACATGTTTTCACATAGGCTCTTCACTTTATGCAATCAATCTCTGGAAACGTGAATCAGATTAAACGCCTAAATCCCTTTTACCAGCAACTGAAAGTTCTCTACAGAGAGTTAAGTTTTCAGCTGTCGAGAGACTACTGGCATGCAGTGCCAGCAAAGACCACCTGCTTCCATTGTATGCTTGCGCTGTGGACTTACTGTGAGTCGCTTTCCCGCTTGCGCTATCTTAATTACTATATTTTTTAGGGACATTGATGCACCATCAACCCAGATGGTCGAAAAGTTCCCAGGAAGAGTGGCCATCTGCCAGAAAGCAATTAATTGAAACAGCTTGAGAGGAAAGCAGCAGTGAAAAGAATTAGCATGCAACAGCCTCAGAACTGTAATATACTGCCCCTTGTTCCTTTTAAGTAGCATTAAAACAAACTCCCTGTCCCGGTAAGACTTTGCGGCTCCTGGCCTTGCAGCCACTGTGAAAGTCAACAATGATGTCGCACTTCTGGTAACATTTTTGGCAAAAAAAAAAAAGTTACAAGAAATCTACATAAAAAAGCAAAACTCTTAAAGCTGAACACCAGGCAATCCGCTAAATGCACCGAGAACAAAACATACACTCACCGGCCACTTTATCAGGTACACCTTGCCAGTATCGGCTTGGACCCCCTTTTACCTTCAGAACTGCCTTCATTCTTAGTGGCATAGATTCAGCAAGGTGTTACAAACATTCCTCAGAGATTTTGGTCCGTATTGACATGAGCTACTGTTGCCTTTCTATCATATCGACCCGGTCTGCCCATTCTACTCTGACATCTGGCATCAACAAGACATTTTCATCCACACAACTGCTGCTCATTGGATAATTTCTCTTTTCCAGACCATTCTCTGTAAACCCTAAAGATGGTTGTGCGTGAAAATCCCAGCAGATCAGCAGTTTTTTAAACACTCAGACGAGCCCATCTGGCACAAACAACCGTGCCACGTTCAAAGTCACTGAAATCCCCTTTCTTCCACATTTTGATACTTGGTTTGAACTTCAGCAAGTGATCTTTACCATGTTTAGATGCCTAAATGCATTAAGTTGCTGCCATGTGATTGACTATTTAGCAATTTGTATTACCAAGCTATTTAACAGGTGAATCTAATAAAGTGGCCGGTGAGAGTATACGCGAGTTGTTTTACCTGCTGTAGAATTTATATTCCTGAGATTTATGAAGCTCTGCCACTTAGCACAGTCCTGTCTGGGAAGACAGGAGACCTGAAATTTCTAAGGTGCAGTTAAGTAACACTTACAGGTCTTGTCCCTTCCTCAGCTTGTGATTGGATGGTGAAAGGAGAGGCAGGAAACTGATGAGTTCATCTCTCTGTCACACTGTTTTCACCTCCTATCAGCATGTTCCTTGTTAGCACATGAGCACTACAGTACAATGGATTAGCTCTTTGTGCTGCTTCTGTCTCTTCCAGTATAGACTCTGCCAGGGGCGGACTGACAACTTATGCCCCAACTCATGCCCCGGGCAATAGGGGATCATGGGGCCCCTGTGTCCTCACCCACACTCAAACCACACCCAAAAAAGCCTGTGAAAGGTACTAGGGGCATCTCATGGGGCCCCCTAATGATCCTGGGCCCTCGGGCAGTGCCCAAGAGCCCAAATGATCAGTCCGCCCCTGGACTCTGCTGTACAGTGCACCTCAAATGCCAAGCTAATACATCAGTGGACCTCAAATACCAAGCTAAATTCAGGTACTTACACTGCTTGTTAATTAACACTTACAGGTCATGTCCCTATCCCAGCTTGTGAATGGACAATGAAAGGACCCACATGGAAGAAAAATATATTTGAAATATATTTTGAAAATATTCTTCCCAAATATATTGACATATATTTGAAATGATACAATTTTGGCCATATTCAACATATTTCAATTAAAAAATAAATAAATCACTTCTGTATGGACCAGGGGCGGACTGACCATTTGGAAACTCGGGCACTGCCCAAGGGCCCGGGGTCAGTTGGGGGCCCCATGAAATGCCTCTCATACCTTATTCATAGGCTTTTTTGAGTTTGGGCAAGGACACTGGGGCCCCATGATCCCCTATTGCCCGGGGGCCCCATGAGCTTTGAGTCCGCCCCTGGTTATGGACCTTAGATTGTACACCCCTTGAGGGTTAGGGACTGATGTGAATGTACAATATATATGTAAAGTGCTGCGTAAATTGACGGCGTTATATAA